TATTTTTTGGGTTGATTTTTCTTTCCTTTTGGTGAGTCGGTTTTGGTTTGAACAAGTCCCTAAATTAAAAGGAGGCCATGTGGAGGCGTGTGCAAGCCTAAAAAACTAGACTATTTTTTGAACAGAACAAAGTGGTTTCAGGGCTCAGCTGCAGAAAGATCCCCCCTCGTGCGGCTCAAACGCTGATCCATTCTGTTTGTTCCTCCCCTTTTCTCTTCTTTCTTCCACCTCCCACCCTCGTGCATTTCTGGATCTTTGACTTTGACCACACAAACCCGAAACTTGAAAGCCTACGTCATATTTAAGAAGGCGGGTTCGAACAATTTTCAGTCCCAACAGTTTGGGACAGTTGGTGGCTTACATTCTGCCACCAAACCATATTGCTATTCTACGGTCGTGGTTGGTCTACTTACAAACCCATTTTACAGTTTGTAATCTTTTTTTTTTACAAATTTTCCCCTCTCACCACTCGTTTAATTTAATTAAATGAATAGAGATGCAGGAATGTCAAATTTTTCAAGCACAAAAGCCAGACTTCCATACACGTTAAATGAATATTTTCCATAAAGATTCTAAACAATTGTTTGCTTGTCGATTTTTTTTTTGAGATATTTCATTATTAATTTTAACTACATTGCCAAAAAACAAAAGATTCCAAACCTTATGAGAAAAAGATAAGAAGATAAAAAAAACTTGAGAGTCAAATCAAAGTACTTCTTAATAATTTAAAATTTTGGTTATTCACGGTCATCCTAGTATACTCTCAATAATTACAAGGCAGTGAACTAAATTTACCTGATCTCGGCATTGTTCTATAGCCTTGGAATGCTTTTCAATTGTTGACCCCTCCCATGACCACATGATGTGCACAAATATGCTTATTTAATTAGTTTAATTGTAGAAATAGTAATGTTACTTTAAGTACATAAGATAGAAAAGACGAATGTACTCTCGTTTAATATGCACCTAACAGTTAAGATATACGGTTCAAAATAGCATGTACCTTAATTTGGCAGTGCTACAAATACAATGAGCGTGTTTATCGTATTACTTGAAATGATAGTTGGAATACTTTTTGTTATATAATGTACGTGAGATAAAAAAAATTTTTAAAAATAGAAAAAGTAGTTAGAGAATGTATTTATAATATAAGCAAAAATAATAGTTTAAAAAAATCAGGTATCCAAAATGTATCTGTGACGACTGGCCTCGCAAGTTGAGTGTCCACAACTTCTTGAGTTTCTGATCCCGCTGTGGGTAAGAGCGTTTCAGTGGAGTGACATGGTGTGAGATTCAGTCCACAACAAAGCCAACAAAAAAAATGAACAACATGCAAGCAAGCAAGCAAGCAAAGAGAGGAATATTTGGGGAATTACGAGGCTCTTAAGCATAAGCACCCTCCTTTAGGCTTTCGACAATATGGATTTCTCATATGAAAGTCAGTTCATTGGATTCTCTGCACGTGAGCTTCATTACTTGCGTACATTGCTGTGAAAGATTGCATCAGACCACGAACATTAACAAACAAGGGGGGGAAAAAAGCAAAAAGAAAAAGAAAAACAGAAGTTTCAGTCCAGTCATAAGATTGCCAACATTCTGTCTACTAGGTGACTGTTGCAGGCCCTGCTGTTGTAGCGTTCACTAGGCGGTCGAAAGAATTGATGACAATCTTCCCAACTTCATCACTGGTTTTTATTTTTTCCCTCTTACACCTCCATCACTGATTGTCACTATTATTGGTGCAGCACCATGGATATTAATTCTTGCTAGCTGCTCGAATTTCCCTTTTTTTTTTTATAACAATAGAAGACGTAGCAATAGTGAATGGGCTAGCTTGCGACGTTGACAGCTGTCGATTATATATATATATGTGAGGCTATAATAAGCATAGCCAATGACTCAAAATCCAGCTATTTGATTCCAAAGTTTGCAGGAAAAAATAGAAATAAGGGTTTTTGTTTCGTTTTGGAAGGAAAGAAGGTTAAATATGAATGTGCTGCAACTAGGACTGGGAACTGGCCATATGGCAGGAATGGTTGGACCAATCAACCAAGCAAGTGGTCAGTAACCTAATCCTTGTACACAACACATTAATAACTGTTAATTATCTCTGATAAATGTAACAACTTAAGCCTTTACGTAGATGTTATAACCTAGCTACCTCGTAGTCGTGTGCGGCAGGGAGATAATGCCTGGTTTAATCTGACCTCCTGCTTAATCATGGCGTATTTCTACTGTACAATGAGGTCTATTTCTTATGCAGCTTAATTGCTAAGCATTTGGGTTGGACTGAAGTAAGAATATTCCTCATTTACTTTCAGTTTCTTGTACCTCAAGTTTGAGCTTGCATGGGATAGAACGCGGAGCTTATATGGATACGCAAGTAAAACCCAGATCAAAGTACTCTTTGAAGCTCACATTCCTGGCAGCAGCAGACACATTATTACACGACAACTATTGCTCGCATACGCTTTTCCATCCATATCTTCCGCTGCTTTTGTGTAAACTTTCCATTTCTTAGATGATAATGATGAAGAGATCAAAACTTTCTTCTTTTTTTTTTTAATACAGATTTACACAAAAAATCCATAGTTTTGGAATGCAAAATCTATTATTCGTTTGACCATAATAAACATGTGCAATAAAATACCAATTATCATACATTAACTTTACATGGTTCAAGTGTAAATTTAAGTAATATTTTTGCTCCTTTATTTATGTATTCGTAACCTTTGACTCCTAAAAGCAAATGTTACACCCCATTTGTCTCCTCTGAGCTCAGTCGAAGACTTCTTCTATTCCATCATATGTAACTAAATGTCTAATCTTCAAAGATTCAGATGTTTTTCTTAGAAAAACACAATGAAAAGAAAAGAGGGAAACTTTCAATTTCCTAGAGATCGATATATAGTCATCTAAATAGACAGCTTATCTATGATAACAAAGGAAGCAAAAGAGGACTGAAGGAGAGATCGGAGTAGAGATTCGAAATCCGTGGAACCTTCAAACCCCAGGGTACCTCTTGATTAAGGTTAAAGGTGCAACAAACATTAATGGTGCCTAAAAATTAGCGAATACTCAACTAATCAGGTTGGAGGGCTATTATTATCTCAACCAGTGATCAGTGAAGTGTGTTTTGTCTGTCAACGCCCCACATATATAAGAACGCATGCTATTATTTTAGCCAAAATTTGAGGATTAGTGGAGTTGTTGTGTATTGTTGCCATTTTTTATTTCCCAAAAACCGAATTTCCTGGTACATGTCTGGTCTCTGCCCAATGAGAGTTATGGGAGATCAAGTCAATATGTGACAGCAGACGCAACGCATGACCTCGATCTTCTTTAGTTGTAATGCATTACCTCTTTAAAATCATGGATATAAACAAAGCCAATCAGTGAGAAAACAAACGGCATCCTTTTCTGTGGTTCTTTGCTCGATCTGCTTGTCGTCGCTTTTCGGCTGTATGCCTTTTTCTCTGGTCCGGCACATTGGATTTTTCTTCATCACATTTTTGCTTCTTCGTTTGGTTCCTCTTTTCGTCTCTTTTGCCGGCAAATTCAACGAGAACGAGTATGGTTTGCTATCCTTGATCAGTTGGATAGCTGAACCGCTGTTATCAAATTGCACGATCAAGGACAATGTTGGTCCACCAAAGGATTAATCCTGAATAATTATTTGTACAAATTAACTATGCAAATAGTAACTTAACTTTTGGTTCTCGGACCTTCTGGATGCATGTAGTGTACAATTGCACTATTTCACAAGCACATAAAACCTATATGTGTGGGTTAATTAGTGTACTTATATGCACCCGGTCTATAAAGAATACCCTGACAAGTTATTCTTGTTAATTTTCTTTTGACGTCTAATCATACCGCTAAACTGGACTCTATTATTCCCTCTAATCATCACTTAACATGAACAAGTCAAGAACGTATAAATCGTGATAAAGGTGGGACAAAAATCGCACTAATTACTCAAATTGGTAAAAGTCAAAATTTAACCCTCTAGATAATAATGCAGTACTGCGGACCTTAACATCCACCGGCCCTTTGTGGATTGTATAATCTTCTGGTTCATGAACTTAGCCTTGAGCCATTCATCCCCAAGGCAAATGCTCCCAGCAGAAGTAAGTTACGACTCAGTGAAATAAATAAGCTTGTAAATGCTACTCTACTTTTTTTTTTTTTCTCAATTTTCAACGTTTCACATTTTAATCTTACCTACCTTTCAACTATATATCATGGACAACCTTGTTCAAGCGTGCTGGTAGTCGAAGATGAAAATGCATTCAGCTCGTCGCCTTATCCCAGACCCACCAAAGGGCTTTTGTTTCTCTCTGCTGCACTTTTCTTTCTGGTTTTAAAGTTTCCCAGAAGAAGTAAAAATAGATATTTTAGGGACACAAAATGATAACGCACGCCACGATGCAACCTTCAGTAAGTGGACGGCCAGGAACGTGTTTTGCAAAAATTTAAACGTTAAAGGTTTTAACTCTATAGGCTAAAAAAGATAATATACTAGTGGCATATAAAACAAGTAAATTCAAGACAAATTCTTCTTTACTTCTGGCTTAGTTCAAGAATCAAGGCAAGGCAACTAGCTAGCTCCGCCCTATTTCACCGAGAAATGAGATTCAAAAAAACAAAAAACTTATTACCGGTATGTGTTAGGTTAAAAAAGAAAAAGAAAAGAAATTCCTTGGGGTTCTCACTCAACCAAGGAGTTGTTTAAATTAAGGTTAAAGCTCTCAACACAAGGAGATTGGAAATTTAGTCTAAGTGGGGGAAGTAGGCTATGGGAGACACGGGAACAGCGCCCACGTTCTCCTCATATCTGACTCCCCCTTTCTTTATTGCTCTTTCTTCCTCACACACACATTACACGCACTAATTTAACAAAGGACAAGTGATACTCTTGACAATATGTTGTGTATCCAATCTAGGAATAAATATATCTCCTCCCTGGCCTCTCTTCTCTTGTGATTCTCCATAAATACTGTAATATCATCAATACCCCAAAGCCTTCTCTCCTTCTCTCTCTCGCTCATACATAATAGTTGGCTTGTCATCCAGTCATCCACCATCCACTTGTGGACGAGTTTCTTGATCAAGTGATCATGGTAGGTCATCTCAGGACCGGGTTTCATTTTGTTGTTGTTGGTGTTTTATTTTTAATTTATTTTTTGGTTGTAGAAAAAATTAGTTTGAATTGAGGGAATTGAGTTAACTTGAAATTTAATATGATGATCATATGTAAAAATATAAATCTGTAGGGAATTCACAAGCCTGCGTGGTTGGAAGCGCTGTATGTGCAGAAATTTTTCGTGCCATGCTCAATTCATGAAAGTGCAAAGAAGAATGAAAAAAACATCTGCTGCTTGGATTGCTGTACAAGTATTTGTCCGCACTGCGTCATGTCTCATCGATTCCATAGGCTTCTTCAAGTTCGACGTTATGTATATCATGATGTTGTTCGATTGGAAGACCTAGAGAAACTCATTGACTGCTCCAACGTTCAGGTAATCAGAAATATCTAACCTGAAAATATGGCCATGTTCTAGTGCTTAAACTTGATTTTTCTACTTGAATTTCCCTCTATATCGTGCCAATAAATGAGCTGATCAACACCTATATTGTAACAACCTGCAGGCTTACACAATTAACGCTGCAAAGGTGGTGTTCATCAAGAAAAGACCTCAAAACAGGCAATTTAAGGGGTCCGGGAATTTTTGCACCTCTTGTGATAGGTGTCTCCAAGAACCCTTCATTCATTGTTCTCTTGGGTGCAAGGTAAATTCCAAATTCAAGTCGATTTTCGATTCTGTGAGTCTCACATCCCACAGACATATCTTCTTTAGCAAAATGTACTACTAAATACTTGTTCGTCTATGGAGCCCAAATATAATCATCATACAATTATCATGAATGTTGTCGAAATTAATTTGCTTTTATAGGGTAATACTTAAACACGATAGTTTTGCATGTATTACAAGTTGTGGTTGTAAAGTCTTGGAAATTATGATGGTAAGTAGCAAAATTTCGTGATCGTTTTAATGACAACCAGGTTGACTTTGTGCTTAAACACTACAAGGACCTCTCTCCATTTCTGAGGGCATGCAAAGTCTTACAACTTAGTCCAGACTTCTTCATTCCTCAAGATTATGGTGATGATGAAATGACAAATGAGACCCCTCATTCAACAATTGTGGACTGTGACGAGCCATTGAGCTCCTCATCGGGCTCTTCGGGGTCTGAGAATATGAGCTTTATGTGCACCGAATTTGTGAGGAAGAAGAGAAGTGGATTATACGTTTGTGGAAGATCAGCAACTAAGATCACAGATGAGGATATGGCTACAAGCATGAGTAGAAGAAAAAGAGTTCCCCATAGATCACCACTATGCTAGACAGTTCTAAAGATAATTAATAGTAACTTTTTACTACTTAGTTCTTTGAGATTTGACCGACTCGATCAGGCAACAATTGTCACCATCCTTCCCCTTCCCCAAAACCCAGCCTACCCACAACAAAAAAAAAAAAAAAAGAAAAAGAAGAAAAAGAGGTCCAAAAAGAATCCTCTCCTCCTCATTGTGGGTTAATTAATTTACTTGGTCGGGCTGTTTTGTCTTAATGGCATCACGTGATTCCCAATTCCAAGTTATGGTTTTGTACATTTTGTCTTGAGATTTTCACGTTGTACTATTCGTTCTTAATTCAGGTTATGATTATAGAGCCGTTTTTGGTGTATTTACTGCTAATGTTTTCTTCAAATACAATTCATTAGTAGGGTCGTACCTTTCTTTTGCTGTAAGCGAAACGTAGCATTTGTTTTAACAATCCTGGAACCTCAATTGTTACTCAATTAAGGTGAAGAATTTGTTGGACAAGTTCATCATACATACAATCACTGCTTTCCGTGAATATTTCTGAATACTTCCACAACATATAATAAAATGGCTTAAGCACATGTATATAGGAGGTACAATTTCAATTGCAGAGTGTGAATTATGTGCTATTTATGTGGTTATAAACTGGCTTAAGGTTTCGTTAGACCGTTATACAGCAGTAGCAAAATATTTACTCGACGTTTACATGTAGATCTTGAGGAATAGCTTTCTTAGAACACAAAATATTTTTATTTTCGTTCATCGTTGCGACTAACCATAGAAAAATGTTGTAAACGATGAAGCAATTAACATCTGCTAGTTATAAGGACAAAAGGCGAATTTGGCACTAAACACAAAAGAATCTTCGACTTCATTTCCTACAAGTGAGTTCCTTCTATGTTCTACCATCAAGTCATCAGCATGGGTAAAACATCGCATGTTCCTCCCAAAAAAATAATAATAATAATCATCGCATGTCACGGAAGTGGTAAAGCCTTTTGGAAGGGAAACCCTGAATTAAAGTGCATAGCAATTCCCCATAAAACTATTAATGAAGGACGTATAAATGTTTGTCTCCCAAACTTGATGGAAATTTCACTATATTGAGAAGAGCATTCAATAGTATTGCTTTGGATACTGGCCCAAAGATGCCTCAAAATTTTGTTGCAGTCGAGTGCAAGCATTTGAGTCTTTTGCTTGTAGATGATCAATGAACAGGAACTTTCATTTTTACCTTCTCATGGTAAATTGCCTGTAAATATCTAACTTAGACGTATTCATATGGGATTGTCACGATTCTGTTTTATTACTTGTATGCGAGTAAGTAGTAACATAATCTTCGTCTCCTTCTCTTGCCGAGGCCTTTTTTGACTTTGACCATTTTGGTTATTTCTACCTGCGTATATTCTTGACCAGTCAAATGCGGAAAGAGTGGAAACCCTACTGATACACACAATTTATTTAGGGTAAACAAATATCAACTGTAGCTTTTACTAAGGCACCCAACCCGTATGGCCGTGTCCAAACTTGCTGCTCCTTCCGTTTCTCCGCTGGGCTTTTTTTTTTTCTGGTTTCTTGTTTTACATGGGGAAGATAATGTACATGTTAAAAAGTTTCTCTAGTCAATAAAATTTGGAAGCTTAGAACTTAGAAGGGTAACACTTTTGATTCCAAGGCCGAGTTTGGGGTTGTGAAGGGAAAAGAAAGGGAGAGAATGTCTAAGCTATGGGAGGAAAGAAAAAAGAGAGAGAGAGGAGAAGAGAGTTTTAACTTGTTTGGGAGTTTAAGAAAGAAAAAAGATAATTGTGATATCGGTAACTCATTCATTGGTACTTTATAGACAACTGTGGCGTTTAAACAAGTTTGGAAGTTTTGCTTCCACTTTTTTGCCGTTTATATCCATAATTGGAGATAAGGGTTTTTGTACTTGTTCATCTCTTCATTGTTCTCCCTTTCTTTCCGTTTAAGGTGAGAGAAAAAAGATTTACAAACAAAGGAAAGATGTGCGTTTAACTTCCTTTTTCCTTCTTTCTTTTCAAATCCCTCCATCCAAACTAGGCCTAAGGTACTCACCATTTTCAATCTTGTTTCTGCAGAATAATCCAATTTAACCTTTAGCTTTCGAAAAGAATAAAAAAATTCCATCACAGGCATGGTGAATCCACTTTGAGAAAAAGAAACGAAAACCGTAGTACGCGTGAAAACTACTGATTTCTCATGGCCCAATGGGCCTGCTTAAAGAATGAGACGTTTTGTTTTAAAACATTGGGCTCAAGAGTTGGTCATCGGGCTTCCGGAAGAGCCTTGGAGGTCAAATTTTCACGTGCCTAACCAGGGACTGAAAAAGCAGAGTTGTGTCCGTCACGAATGACTTGGTGGAATTCTTTGTTTGGTGCAGTGGAGGGGCAGAGGCCCTTTAAGGAAAGAAACTAATCTTTGGGCTCCTAGCTGGCTCTTTAAGCTCTATCAAATGAATTTGGACTCTCCAAAATGACCAGATGAACTCCGTCGTTAGCACTTAACAATTCTGCTTCAGAGGAATGAATAAACTACTTCGTTAGCATGATTATAGGTGTTTAGCATAGAAATCTGTCTAATCACGATTTGCTTAGCATAATTATAGGATATCTGTTTAGCATATTTGTAGCATAATTACAGGAGATTTGCTTAGTATAATAGTACTTTTTTTTTTTTTTTTTATAATGTATGAATAGATGTTGTATTCTTGTATAGAAATAAACTTTTAAATGAATGTGGTTTAGCACTCCAACACGTACGTAACTCTCCTATCTTTCAGAATATACGCTTTAATCTAATGTGGCTTCGTTTGAAGTAAAGTGGAATTGCGGAAATGTTAGTATTAAGGATTAATGTCAATAATGCAACATGTATTTATATTCGCTGGTATATAAAAAAGATTAATCACAGTTGTAAAGCACAAACTCCTAGCTAATGTATGCAATATGCAGTCATCTCACGTCGCACGATGTATATAGCAATTGTAATAGTGCATTGGAACCAACAAAGGGAATTTGGTTTTGAAACTTAAGCTATGAAATGTAGGCCTAAAAAATTAACCAAAAACTTATAGAATATATATTTGATAAAATTAATGTGTATGATGAGACAATTTACACACATACAAGTATGTATGGAAGAACAAGGAATAAATATCAACAATATATTATTAATCACACATAACAGCAGACTCTCAAATTTCAGTCGCCTAAACTGATACAATAATAAGACTCCTCCTTATAACTACAAGAAATTTGCTAATAACATCCTGATTTCTACAATAAAACTATTAAAAACTTGACTTGATTAAAACACTGCTAAATAACCATTTAGAAACTTCTAGTTTTTAGACTTGATTTAGTATACCAGCATGAAATAGGGTTTATAGCCCAACAAAAGACATGGTACATCAGCTCATGTAAATCTACATCAACATGGCATATATGGGAATACCGGCATCATCTAAGGGGATTGTGGCACTCGAATTGAAATCACCCGGCTTTGGCAAACCAACGTCCACTGCAACCATAGACCTGGCAAAATGACTGCACTGCGAGCAGCGATAGCAGCACTACGGTCGAAAGGAAAGTGAGACACTTCCAGGAACGATACACATGTTTCTTCAAAAACCTGTAGGTTTTCAATTTTCTGGTGCTGTTAAATTTCTCGTTTACCTTGTCCACGGCTACCTCTACGGAAGACTTGTTCTCCGGGGACTTGCCTGTTGATCTCCTGATCCCATTAAAAAGATTAGCAATTTCTTCATCACTCAGGCTGCCTTGAATAATGCCCTCTTTCTTTAGCAAATCCACATCCTTGGGAGTGTCTACTATTCCGCATATCAAATCCACATATTCCGCGAGTTCAAGGGTTCTATTGGAACCCGGTGGAGCAACTGCAGCCTCGTAAGCCACCAAATTGCGCGGTATGATCTCTGAATCAGTGTTCAAAGTGATCTCAGGGAGATAAATGTGTTCTCGTCTTCATCATAACCAACGTCCCTGATGCCCCCACCTGTGCGCTTGAAATCTATCTTAGCAAATGTTTTAAGCTGAGAAGCAGATGGGATATCAATTTCCTCTACTGAACACTCACTCTTGTCAATCTACCCGATCTTATTTTTGAACAGCTCTAAAAGCCCCTACCAAGGGAAGCTTTTCAAGAAAGAAATATCCTTCTCCAGACCTCCCATATCGAACACGCTGGCTGCTGTGTCTACAATCCCCAGTGCGGTTGAAGCCTCACCTTCCACTTCATTGACCGGAATGCTGAAATAACGATCACCTGTACGTAAATAATCATCGTCCTGAATTCCCCGATTGTTGACAATAAGATAGTACAAATGAGCCAGGAGATGGACGCCAGCTGGCATATGACGACGATGGATCTTTTGCTGAGAAATTTTGAGGGGGAAGTGCGCCCAGCAGAAAAAGAAAGTGTCATGAATCTCAGAGCGATCGGAGACTCAGAGATTCTTTCGTACTGGCATTGGTTTAATTGGTTTAATGGGGCCAGAATCAAGTAAACAACGTAAAGCCTTTCTTTAGAGGTGGCAATTTGTCCCAAGTCCCAATAGGTTACCTATGCCCATGGGACTTTCGGCAGGATGGGTATTGGAATTTTATATTAGATTTAAAATGGGACAAATCTCAATTATACCCATTAATTGATGGAAAATTTTGGAAAATACTTGGATACCCATTGGGCTCAAATAGCAAGGGCTCCGTTTGGATTAACTATTTTTGGAGGTTATTTTTGAAATATTTTATTGTAGTAGTGTATATGAAAAATTTTTACTATAAAATTTTTTTGAAATATTTGATATACTAATATGGATAGGATGTTTTTGAGTTATTGTATATTACTGTAACATTGTATTTGAAAATATTTATAATCATACCAAACAGAGTCTTAGATTCCAAACAGAGCCAATCCAAACAGAGTCTTAGATTCAAAAATTATCTTAAACAATTTTTATAATCATACCAGCGAATATAATCTAGTAGTCTTCCTA